TACCATGGATATCGATATTTGTTCATAATTGTTGAAAAACTCGTTGGGTTACACGTTATCGTACATGATGAATGTTAATTATATTCCAAACACCGGTATATTATGAAATATCATAAGGAAGAAATGGAAAAAATAAAAAAATAAAGAAGAAAGATTCGATATATATATATATATATATATATATTTCTTTTCTCTTTCGTTTCGTTTGGTAAAAGAAAATTTCACGGTATATTATTATATGGGAAATTAGTTAGTTATTACAACATGAAAATTCCATTGCCTTGGGATTATCGTTTTTCTCACGAGCACAATTCTCATTCTTATCGTTATTGATATCGTCAGCCACAACGAAGTGTGATCTCATTTTCCAATCTCTTTGAGCACTTACCTTTGCAAAGTATTACGAAGTATGGAAAGATTGATCGATACGTAATGGCGACTCATCGAGAGAATCGATCGCTTGGAATTTCAACTTTTATGACCTTCGCGTTAATTTCTTGGATAGAAAAAGAAAAAGAAGAAAAAAAAAAGAGAAGAAAATAAGGATAAGCTTCTTCTTTTTCTTTTTTTTTTCGTCGTCGTTAATAAAAATGCAACATCACGGACGTGCGAATCCTTTCGATCATTTTTTTCCTCCCTATCCATCATCGCGTAATCCGTTTTAATGTATAAGCAACCATTGTTTTTACAGTCCTTATTAGTATCCAGTTAATTCGATAGACTTTATAATAAAGCAACATTGTCCTTATTCGAATCACGATCGTTTTGCCACTGCCGCACGTAGAGCGATTTACGATAGTGTGACGTCATTTCGAATACAATTCCTCCTTTCTGCACGATATTTCGTAGATTCTGTGACGTTACGCAAACACGATACTACGAAATTTCGTGATGAGCATTGTCAATGGAAAAAAGAAAAAAAAAAAAAAAAAAAAAAAAAGAAGATTATCTCTTTGGTTACGTGCTTTGGTAAACGTACGGTTTAAAATATTTCATTTCCTTTCTTTTTCTTTCTTATTATCCGCTTCATGAGTTCTAACGAAATTGATATTATATCACAAAATCGAGGCAAATTAAAAATATGTAAATTAATTTAATTTTGTTGACATTAATAAATTATTGAAAAATTAATGTGACTCTTATTATCTCGAAAAACGTGAGCATAGCACCATCTTTGTGTTCATAAAACACGTCATTCGAGTTCCTCATTAATAAAATTTCACAGATATTGATGGTTACCTCTGGTCGGATAGATCTATACTTTGTCCAACACGATTTGTAATACACTCATCGATAAACGTTCCAAGTTTCATCGTATAAAGGTGAACATTTGCAAATTTTTTTCGTTAGAATCAATGAAATAATTGTTCTTCTTTATTTATCTTTTTTTTTTTTTTTTTTTTTTTTTTTTTGAGAATGATAAATGAACTCTTAGAGATCTTAGAGAAAGAGGAGGACAGATCGTCGCGTCATCGTGAATGTATAAAATGTTTGTAAAAATCGTGGAAAATGTAGAGATAACGATAATCGGTAGTCGGTAGTATTCAAGGGACTATTTAAAAGAAAGATGAGATCTTCTCTCTTTCGTTTCTTCGTTTCGATGAGTAACGTTTGACTTTCTTTTACTCCACTTTATACTGTTGCAAGTGTATCTCCGAACGGATAAGCGAAAAGAAAGTGGATCGTGAAGGAAATTGGAACGAGAAGAGAAGAAATTCAACGATAGGTAATTTCTTCGAAAGAGTATTTATCTGATTATTATTCGAGTATCGACTTGATAAGTTAAATAATCAATAAATAAAAGTTTCGATCTATCGTATTGCGCTTGATAACTTTTCTTTATCAATCGCTATAGACGTAATAAAAAGATAGGGAAACATATAAAAGAACGGTGCAATTCGTTGCTTCGTTTATCGAATCGTTTTTTACGATCTCCTTCGATCTTTTATCAATCATAAGATAGAAAATGTTCGATCAGGTATTTTCTTTAGTTCTTTCTCTCGTACCAGCTCTCTGTATCAGTTGGATATATTTTCTTTGTTCCTTCAATAATTTCATTAGTTATTACCACGTTCATGTTTATGCAGCTGGTGGCAATAAGAACAATCGGCTTTACGTTTGAACCACGCTCATGAATATACGAAAGCTACATATACACATATATGAAATAAAGCTCAACGATCTGTATTATTACGATGGGAAAATATTAAAAGATAAAACGTAGTCCAAATAGTAATGATCATCGATCATCGACCTATCTGTTTCTCATTATTTCAATCTTCTGAGTTAAAATCCATGTGTATTTCCATACGATTCGATCGATAATCAGAGAAACAACATTGCCATTCCAGATTGGTTTTTCGTTCCCACAAATCATCCCTCCTTTATCAAAACCAAATTAGCGAAAGTTTAACCAAGCTATCATTCGAAGAGAGCCGAGCTCGCGACACAGACGAAAGATAAAGAATCGTACGTTCTTCGGTCGATTATATAAGAAAAATTATCGAAGGTCTATATTACAGCCGATTCTAAGAGAAAAGATCACTTTAAAGTAGTCCGCGTAACTCGTCGGTAATACCAAGTAAGTTAACCCTTTTTATATCTACAAAATTCTTCTCGAACTTTTGAGATCTCTCATCGCGATCGTTACAAAGTATGTGGTGGGGACAGGGGGGCAAGGGGGGCAAGGGGCGGCGGGGAAACAGTAGTGCATTTTATCGAGATTAGATATCGACATTATAAAGTTTAATTTCTAGGATTATTGGAGAACTTTCCCCTGCAAGTATAATAAGTAGATGATGGCGGTGTTACGTCAACAAAATAATTGATGCTTCAAATTTTTTACAAGCAATTGTAAATTGGGTGAAAGTAACTCGATAAGATTTTTATTCGATTAGTATTCAATAAATTGGTAAAACTTACGTACTTTTATTTAGCTATCGAGGAACGGACAAACGCGATTGAATAGAAATAAAAGGCTTCTATCGGCTGAATTATTTGAATTTGAATCGTCGCTGTAAAGAACGAATTATGACACATTTTCGCATATCGACGCGAACCACCTTCCGATAATAATCAACTGGTTGTGACGTAAATTCGCATGCTTTTCTTTTCTTCTTCCTCTCCTCTCACGTTATCTATTTTTACCTATCATCGAATTACGAGGAAAATAGTTAGCGCGATGGAAAATTCGTACTTTCGATTACTTCGTGGAATTTATTAGAAATATTTACAATGAAATTGTCTCTTGTACACGTCTTTTTTTTTTCATATCTAAGTGCATCTTTCGCAATAGATCGTAAGTACTGCGTAAGTACGTATACATAGAATAATTTTAAAGCGCAACAATTATTTCGCTTTCAATTGTATTGCCAACTGACAGTTCAAGAGTAACCATTCATTTTTATTTTTTTTTTTTTTTTTTTTTAATTTTGTTTCCATTGTCATTTAAATGAGTTTGCTCCTTAACGTCGAGCTGACTATTTAAATGCGATAAATGTGACGCGTAATTTTTTAATAACACGCATAGAGCACGTCCGAATGCACTAGATTGCGATCCCATCCCACGTGCGCGCGTTCATCAATGAACCATTTGAGTCTCGTGCCTCGCTTTATTGATTTTCTAGCCCTAACGTAAAAGAAAGATGGAAACCGGAGCGTGAATGGGCTCGAAAAGAAATTGAAAGTAAATGGAGAGTCGTGTTTTTTACTTACTTAGCCTTGACACGACATTTTTTTAAAGATTATAAAGCTAACATAGTTTCGAGCATTGCGCTTATCGATTAATCTTTACACCTCGTGAGAACGATAATTTTCAATTTCGGGACATCGATCTATCGATTTCTTTCGTTTCTCTTATCTTATTATAATAATATTTTATATATCTAATCGTAAGACTGGAGATATCTTACATACACCCTTTTATCTGGTTAATTACAAAACTTGAATTTAAAATTGTAAACAAGTGTTCAAATATTTTTGATCGTATCGCGAGGCAATCTTCAAATGTGCATGCAAATCGATCAATTATTAGAAAAATTTCTTCGACCAATAGAAATATTATATCATTCACGATCGTACCGAGACGACGAAGAATTTCCAATACTATTTCTTCTATTTACAAGTTCGTCCTTTGCACGATACTTTATATACAATGATGACCCGATCCCGTTGAAAAGAATACACGCATACATAATATAATATTTGATCGAAATTTTTCAACGAGCTTAGTCGTTAAAATGATAATTCAAATAGGGGAGATGGTACACCCATTCATGATTGTATTCATTCTCGGCCCTTTTCAAACTGACCGCTCGCAGGATGCATTAATTTTTTATTCCCAGAGGGAGACGTGCACCCTTTGCCAATCGACATGTAAAGTCTATTAAAAAGTATGCCCTTTTTCGTACTTGTACGAGTAATAAAGTTCTCAGATTTTTCACTGGTCGTTTCACTTTCATAATAACTCGTACGAATCATCTAAATATATCTCCCAAAAGAGACAAGTCCACTTTGCCAAGATGATAAGCAACTTCCGTTTAAAAATATAGATAGACAAAAATATGTAGATGTAATTATTTTCTTGCATACACGTTGACCTATTCATCGAGTCGAGTTAGTCACTTGATTTCGACTTGACGCAGGAACAAACTGACAGTGTTTATATTCGATCTTAGTACGAGCGTCCTCGATGATGTTGATATTACGAAAACAAAATAAAAAATAGAAAAGAAGAAAGTGGGAGGAGCAGAAATTATTTCCGACGGTAATAAATATAATACAACTTATAGCCATTGTTCCTCGTTAAATATAGATCTTGTTGTAAATTGGAATTAATTAGAATTAGATTAATGAACGTATGAACGTACCAAATTTCAATAGTAGCTTAAGGAATGTCTAGATCAAACGATACAGAGTACTGTATGCTTCTATACAAGAGAGAATAATCGTTGTCCGACGGCCCTGACACAAACCTTCATCGTAGAATTCCGGATTTTCAGGGTCGAAGTCTTTCGTTCGTGCGGTCGTTGTATCTGAAACGATCGATCAACGACTACCGAAGACTGCCTATCGAATCGGAGCTGTGCTACCAGAGGCAGAAGAAGAACACGAGAGAGAGAGAGAGAGAGAGAGAGAGACAGAGACAAAGACAGAAAATGGCCCCCACTCATCGCGAAGAAGAAATAGAGGGGCGCTCGTATAAAGAGTATGCTTACAGCCCTGTACCAGCGAGTTCCTCCTCGGCTGTGTACGAAACAACCACCACTACCCTCGTTAAAGAACCCTACGTTGTATCTACTAATAACGGAGAAGAGTTTAAAAAATCTACATTTGGAATCGTTACGAGCAAGTGCAGTGCTGCCGAAATGGGTGAAAAAGGATCTACTCTGTTGCAGTATATTGCTGCAGCTGCAGGTCAGTACATTTGATTTTTCTTTTTTATTTATTTCTCTACTTTTTCTTTATACTTTCTCCCTCTTGTTCTTTCCTTCTTATTCCTTAAAAGTCTTTGATTTTACGAGCGAGCTTAACGAAATGTATTGCAAACAATCATTATAGTTCGAAAGTGATTTTTGGCTCGAGAAAGGGTCAAACCGAGTGACGTAAATAACAATTAAGGGCTTCGATTCGTGTCACAGTCGAAAATAGATGGACTTTAAACTATAACGTATAAGCTATGCTTCCTTCTGACTTTAAACTTGAAAGTAGACGTTTATTTTATAACCATAATAATATCCGTTATCTCTTCTTGTGCGATCGTTTGAATTTTGTGTAAAACGATTCGTGTAAACGACACGTGGCTTAAAAATATGTATATATATATATATAGAATATCGACAAACATTATGTTTGTTTGTTTTGTTCAAAATCTTATCGATCTCGTTTACTTTTTTAATAAATCCAATAAGTCGTGTAATGATACAAATTACGAAGAAGTTATAGGATTTCCTTCTTTTCAATTAACTACATCAATCGCCTAAAGAATCTTGGAAAATATATATTTTTTTTTCCTTCAATTTCGCATAATTCCCTTGGCATTGAGATGAAAGGAAGAAGAAAAAAAAAAAAAAAAAAAAAAAAGAAACTAAGAAACTGTTTAATCGCATTCCAGAATGTAATCGTATCCTGTCGTAGTACCAGACAGTTGGAAAAAAATTTGTTGATTAGAGCGTACAATATTTAATGCGAATATATGAGAACAAAAAAGGAAGAAAGGGAAAAAGAAAGAAGGAAAGAAAGAAAGGAAAAAAACAAAAAAAAAAGAAAAAGAGGGAGGAAAATAATTTGAAACGCACGTGCGCATTCGCGTGCAACCAAGCAGGCGCATCATTCTGATCGAGCTTCGAACTCAATGCCGACGTCCTCGAGTAAATGCAATTCACGTGACGCAAAGCTTACGTTCGAACGTCATGGGGGATGTATGGGTGTATTTTGTATCTTGCCTTTTTCATTAATATGTTTCTTCTCTCACAATTATTCCTTTATTTCTCAATTAAAATAAAACCTAATTAAATTTAGAAGTATCTATCTAGATAAAGTTCCGAGTGACGTTTCACGCACGTGCTGCATAAGATTCCATATAGTTAAGTTTCCCTGTGACGCGATAGTCTCGGCTGCATCATTCGAGTTTTCTTTTCTTTTCTTTTTTTTTTTTTTTTTCTATATTTAAAACTATCTCTTTCTTTGTCTCATGTACGTATTTATGTCTCGGTCTGAGATCGCGAGAAATGTTTTCTTTATCCTAGACTATTTTAAATGTTGATCCTTCTCTTTGCTCTTCTACCTTCAACATTCTTTCTATTTATACGTTCTACGAACGTACTCGATGATCATTGCTTCAATCGTTACGACGAAAGACAAATTTGCGAAAGAAAAAAGAGCAATACTCGAAGGAAATAAATTATTACGTTGATGTGTTCATTAAAATTTTTAAATCCTTTCGAAAGATCTTTCGTGATCAGAAATATTCGACATCGTGAGAACTGAGAATCGAAATGGCAACGGGAGAAACTGCTTTTATTAGCAGTTAGACTCTTTCACAGTAAGAATCCTTCTCACCGTCAGATTGCTGCGGTTACACGAATAATGAGGAAGTAGTTCAGCTCGATTGAGATCTTACTTCTACTCGAGCTGATACTTAATCCGCCCGTCACTACCGGATGCCACTTGTTTTAATATTCACGCCGTGAATCGTGAAATGATTTCAAGTCGTAATAACTTTGGTTTGTCATTATCATCGAAGTATTTCCCCTTTTTTTTTTTTTTTTCTTTTTTTTTTTTATCGTGCCTCCTTGTCTTTCTCGAGTTTGTATTTACATTCTTTCCTCATGGTTTACTTTGAACGACTACGTCTGACATACTTCTTGTTTTCTTTGTTTCTCCTTTATATCACTTTTTATTTCGATGGTTTCCGTTCTTTATCTTATGAACCATGTGTACAGCTGCACGAAGAAAACAAAATACTTTACGGAATATAAACGACGAAATATGCGCTAACAAGTCAAATCAAGTTTTCAGTCGAGGCCGTAAAGGATGTTTATTTTTTTTTTTTTTTTCTTTTTTTTTTCTTTCGAATCGAATAATTCTAAAATAATGCGAAAAAAAATATTACCCAATGACCCAGTCTCATCAATGTCACGTTTTTTTCCAAAAACTTTCTTGTTCGTTAAAATATTTCCATTCGATTGGATATTCGATAAAACCGAAGAAACGTTTCGAATTTTTACCAGATCTGCAAGTTTATCGAACGACAAAAAGCTTTTTTATGTTTCATAATTTTTTTGTTAGATTATGATATTAGATAATGACAGGATTCATTCGAATCTCGAAATAAGAGCATGCACCGAACGATTATTTATCTCGATTATTTTATATGAGATTAAAATGAGTACAAAACATAACAAAAATTACACGATACTAATTACTAACATAGACATCAGATAATATTATTGAGTCGTAAATTACATGACAAGTGAAAGCAGTTGTTTGTCATATAATTTTGAAAAATGTACATGTAATCACGGCATTATCGATCGATAATATCTACTAGGATTCTTCTTAATCCATGCGATTAAGCACGATAATTCTCTTTATATGTGTTATCTTGGAAAGAAAAAGAAACTTCCTCCCTTTCAATCGTTTCTTCTCTCTCATAGGCGAAAAACAAAATAATTATTATCGATGGTATATTCGTTTTAATGAATAACGACGACATCAGATTTCATTCTTCATAAGTACTTGCGATATTTTCAATCGTAACATTTCTTAATGATAATTTGACGTTGCCACTGTTTACATATACTCTTATATACATTATCTATAATCGTAGAGAAAATTATACTGAGGAAAACAAAATAACAATTATGGTGTCGTTCGATCAATGAGTACGCTCATCGATAGGATTCTTATCGTTTATGATACATCTACCTATATTTTTTTATTAAACATATCATTTGCATACAAATACGCATATGCGATATAGAAATGATATATGTTTAGATTATAAAATCTTATTCCGTTATTATGTTTCATTGAGCGTAATTTGACAAGTCAACGATATGACGATTATACCGACTCGTTTTCCAATATATTTTAATTATATTGTCTAATTGGCGTCCTTGAAATAACACCGAACAAGTTGTCGCACGCACAAAGTAAGATTCTAATCGCATAAATGGCAAAACGAGAGAATACTTAATGAGATAACGACATAATACGTATTAATTTCGAGAAACAGATACGAACACGCAAAATTTAATGGATCAAAGATTTTCCAAGGTGCTACAATATTTTTTTTTTTTTTTTTTTTTTTTTTTTTTTTTTTTTTTTTTTTTTTTTTTTTTTTTTTTTTTTTTTTTTTGTTAAAAGTGATCTGATTCGAATGAAAATCTATCGATCCATCGATTCATTAATCATTAACAAATGTTGACAATTTTCAATAAAAATTATTCGAAGAACGAACATATAAGTTACTTGGATATCAGATTTTTCAACAAAGAAAATAGTTAGAAGGTCGTTACTAAAATTACCGTTCACGACTAACTTGATTAATTAAGGTCAAAGTATATCGAGTATTTTTACTAAACGTGGAAAGACAACGGAAATCCTTAAGAGTAAATAAAGCTTCTTAAGTAGCCGAAGTGATCTTTACTCGAGGCAAACCGATATAGTTGTTGGTAAAGTGATCGCTTTGTTAACTCATTAGAGATCTTTCAATATGAGTAATTTCAAGTTTTAGTCGACATGATTTCAATCGATTTGACATCATCATCTGGATTCGATAATTGATAATAATATTCGTATACGCATTTATACGACTTATCGAAAATAATACATTGTTATTAAGAACCGAAAAGATCAAGTTGGATCGATTTTTAATCAAAGAAAAAGAAAAGAAAAAAAAAAAAAAAAAAGAAAAAGAAATAAATGAAAAGATATAAAAAAAAAGACAAAAGAAAAAGCTGTAAAAAGCGATCACTATTCACGACGGTATCGACACGCCTCCTCGCTTATTTTTGATTTATTTAATTGCCTGACTTCGCACTTTTCTGGCGATATCTCTTCCCATTTCTATTCCTCTTTTTCTTTTTTTTCTTATTCCATCCAAGTTTATGAAAACGTCTTATCGAGTTGGAAATTTCCTAACTGCAAAAAAATGGTAGCGAAATATACGACGCGACGCGATTAGATTCATTCGTCGTCAGTAACCTCATCGAACTAATTCTTTCATTTCTTTCACTTTCTCCCTCTCTCTCTCTCTCTCTCTCTCTACTTCTCGGCTCTTAATATGTCCTCAATTTTTCTAGCGAGTCTTTCGATCCACGGTCGTATTTACGATACGTATTATCGTTTATCAAGATAATAGAATTTTTATCGATACGTAAAAAAAAATTGATACGAAAGAAAAAAGAAATGAAGTGCAAAATTGTATAAAAAAAATCGAAATGATCATTCTATATTATATAACTATCCCCTCCTTCTGCAAAATAAAAGAAAGGAAAAAAACCGACGAAGCGATTAATTCTCTTGAAATATTTCGTTTTTATCAACGAATTTCACCAACAAATACGAATGTTTAATTTTTCGATCGACATTTCACGAGTCTCGAACGAATCACGTCCGGTCTGTAGACTTGCGTAACTCTGTAATAATAAAAGAGTCGCGAGCGTCGAATGATTCGGCATACCTGAAAGGCTTGAGGAGGTTGCATAACCGCAATATACGGTGATGCATTGCGATGCACCGCAATACAACAAAAAAATACCGAAGGAACGAACGATGATAGCGTGACGAGCAATCGATACGAAAATGCAAACTATTCGCTATGATTATCGCGCGTTCGATGCTGCTCGATAGTTTATCTCGATATGGCTGACACCACAAATAAAAAAAATCTTATACTAGTTCTCGAGAGTTTCATTATCATTCGACTTTTCTTTTTTCACTTTTTGTCTCGATTTTTCGTCCTTTCTATCGATATCGCGATTCGCTCTCTCTCTCTTTCTTTTCTTTTCTCTTTTTTCCCTTTTTTCTTCTACTCTTAATACGTTCGAGATAAGTGTCAGAACTCTCTCGGATTATTTTCTTACGATCCCTGTTAACGAAGTAAACGATACGAAAATAAATGAAGCACATTATTAACAAGCTATATAAAAATGCATTATTTTATTGTAATTAAATATCTGGTAAAAAGTTAAACGGTAAAAGCTAATAGAAAAGAAATCAGCGTTAAATTCGAATAATCGTATAACAAGAAAGACGATATATTTTATTGCTATGATATATTACTTATTACGATGAAAGGGTTTCCAGGTACGAGTGTATAGATCATCGTTGTCGCGAACTAAGTGGAAGGTAAACGATAGACGAGATAAATAACGTCAAATTACTCCGAGATATTTTAATTTTTTCAAAGGTATTTCAAACGTTTTCTTAACAGCGATTCGTTTGGGCTGTCATTGCTCGGAACGAAAAACATTTCTATGGTCGGTCACGTGGACGTATTTACGAGCGAACGAAGCGTGTCGTTGTGACCGCAACATTACATAAAGCTGATATTTCGTAGTTGATTTATTTTTTTCTCATTGTCGTAAAAATGATCTACGTGGATTGACCCGCCTAAAAATGAAAGATTTTCACTTTGGAATTCCTTTGGCGTTTACGTTCAAAAGCATCGAGGAAATAAAAGGCGCAATCCTTGATAAAACCAAAGCAATTTAAAGCGAAACAAGCGATTATGCAAAACGCACTATAACGGCACGTTTTATCGTAGGAAACGCCTCCGATGCTGTGACCAAGAGTCACATTTTAAAAACGATTAAAGCGAGACGAATTTATCATCGTGGAAAATTAGCAACGAGTTTGTTACCGCTTTATTTCATCCATTCTGTACGATACGCACGCGTGAAAATAATGTTTCGAAATATCTCATGTTATCTTTTTACGAGAGATCGATAAACTTTCAACAGACCGAGGAAGATCTATAGATCGTTTTTCTTTTATAGATTACTATCTTATAGATTACTTACTTATTTTTATCTCTCGATGTTTCAGCCAATCTCAGTATAATGGCGACAGGAGCGATGTTGGGTTGGACCAGTCCGATATTAGGTAGACTTATGGTGAAATCCGATGACAATCCTTTGGACACTCCCATTACCGCAGATGAATCATCCTGGATCGGATCGTTGGTAGCCATTGGTGCTGCTGTTGGAAGTTTCGCAGCTGGATATTCCGCTGAAAGGTATTTTTAATTCTTCCAAGTTTTCAAGTTGTTGTTGTTGTTGTTGTTGTTGTTGTTGTTGTTGTTGCAACTAAATCTCGAGTCTTAATTAAAAAATCATTTCTCAGATTTGGCCGAAAATACACTCTACTATTTTGTATCGTACCTTATTTGATCGGTTGGGCGTTGATAGCTACGGCACATAATGTAGCTCAGTTTTACGTTGCTCGATTGATATTTGGAGTTGCCTTGTCCTTCGCCTTCACTGTCGTACCTATGTACGTGGGAGAGATCGCAGAGGTAAGAGAGAAAAAGTGTCTGCGAGCAAAAGTCATGAAAAATTTCTAAAACATATGGAATTTAATCGTAAAGTATAAAATTTCTATTCGAATCTTTCGCTAGACGTCCATCAGAGGAGCATTGGGATCCTTTCTTCAATTATTCATCACGTTTGGATTGCTCTATTCTTACGTCATCGGTCCGTACGTTTCTTACACGGTCTTTTGGATCCTCTGTGCCTGTCTACCGGTCATCTTCTTCGTTTTATTTCTATTAATGCCAGAATCACCTTACTATCTAATCTCCAAGGGTAACAGAGAAGCTGCCGTTACTGCGTTAGCCAAATTACGCAGCAAGAGCGAAATGGCTGTACAGCAAGAGGCAGACGACATACGGGTAAGAATAAAATTTTATCGAACGATAGGAATTTTAATTATCGACGAATAAGCGATTCGTTGGCGAAATAGGCGGAACACGTGCTCGTTTCTCCTACAATAAATTGTGCCGTTCAATATCGATTCACGATACTGGTCACGTACGTTTAACGAGATCGTTGAAAAAGGATCATTCCTTGATCCTGTATAGAGCGTCTAACCAACCGAGATCATAGAATTTAGGAGGAAATATCCTTTTCTTAATCTTCTACATACGATAGCAAGTTGTAAAAGTTTAGAAATGTATTTTGTCAATTGTATGCTTTCACCAGCAGCCATATTCAATTGACCCCGTGCACTCCAAAGGATAAGATTCTTTTTATCGATCTCTTATAATTTATTGAACGCACGATATTTATAGACAATGAGTAAAACTGCTCTTGAAACAAAATCGTAACATATCGTAGTATCTACGTATGTCGAGGATATCGCGCGACGAGGTGACGAAACGTCATCCTACTCATTCATCATCGATTTATTTCGTTTCATTTTCCCAGGATGCCCTCGAGGAATCAATGAAAACGCAGACCAAGATTTCGGATCTATTCACCATCAAGGCAAATTTTAAGGCCCTCATATTCACCTGTTTCCTGGCATCCTTTCAACAGTTGACCGGTATCAACGTTGTTCTATTTTACATGCAAAGTATCTTTGCCGCAACTGGTAGCACCATGGATCCAAACGTGTCTACGATCATAGTTGGTTCCGTTCAAGTAGCCGCATCTTTCGTCACGCCATTGATCGTCGACAGACTGGGCAGACGATTGCTTCTCATAACTTCCGGCATAGGAGAGATCGTTACTTTGGTAAGTTATCTTTATCATTTCTATATGGATTTAATGAAGAAATTAGAAAGTCCAATAAATTTCCTCGTGAAAGTTATCTGACGAAGACTAACGATCTTTGTCGTCGTTCTCTCTCTCTCTCTCTCTCTCTCTTGCAATACCATTCGTCTCGAATGATCGCTTCCTCTTTCATTTCCAATCGATAGCACGTGTCTTCTAAGAAAATAAGAAAAATAGATTTCACTAGGAAACGTTACGACGTTGATCAATTAAGCGGCTATTACTTTACTTACGCAATCGATTGGTTCTTGACTTTCATGAATTATATACACGAACGGTGTGATAATGAAAAATCTCCTAGGAAATTCTCTTAGTCTCGTGCGATAGACGTGCCGAGTCTGAAGATAGAAGACGGAGGAAAAAAGAAAAGAACAAAAGTAGAAATAGAGTGCGCGCGCGTCTCGTTATTGATTTAATTGATCGTCATCGTATTAATCGACGCGTACGCGCGTCAAACTCGAATCGTTCGGTTAACGTAGTGCCTAAAGGTATTTCTTTGATGAGCAACGAGATCGTAACCTTCGTGTGATAGAATACGTTGCACTCGTACGCATCGATCGCGATTAGAATTCTAAAATAGATATAGCTTGGGTTAAGACGGCTAACAGCCTCCCCTTCGTTAGCGTCGAGAAAGAGAAGAACATACGCGAACATACATACATATGTATACGTATCTACGTTAACGATCGTAACGAGCTTGGCCCTGAATTCGATAAACACTCGGAATGCATTTAATTGCAACGTTTTAGTCGTTAACTTCTTCCCGTACGTACGAAAAGTGGCAGTACGCTCGCGTGGCATCCGTTTTGAAAAAGCGAAGCATTCGAAACGAAGAGAACGATTGTACGTAACACAGTTACGCTTTCGAAACGTCATAAACATTTCTCATGTTACAGGCTGCTCTGGGTCTTTTCTTTTATTTAAAAGACGTCAAAGAGGACGTCGAAGTCGTGGAATCGATCTCGTGGCTTCCGGTGGTTTCGCTCGTCATCTTTATCGCTACCTATTGCATCGGTTGGGGACCTCTTCCATGGGCAGTGATGGGCGAGATGTTCGCCTCTGACGTAAAGTCGAAAGCTTCCGGTATTACAGTCTCCATATGCTGGCTCTTGGCTTTCTTCATTACGAAATTCTCGAGCAACATCACCGAGGCCTTCGGTAATCACACAACCTATTGGATGTTTGCCGTCTTCTGTGTTATCAGTGTTCTGTTCACCATATTTGTACTACCTGAAACCAAGGGCAAGAGTTTGCAACAGATTCAGGATGAGTTGAACGGCGTGAAACCGTCGATGTCCGAATTCAGTCATTCTGTTTTACCTACCAAACAATGAAGGTATCTTTCGGGGTCGGAGATGGTTCGTATTTTAAATGACGATCATTATCCTAGCACGAGTTATTACGGGTCATTCGTTAATAAAGAAGACGCGTAGAATTATGATTGTCTTTCTTCGGCCCTGGCCACAAGATTCGATGACTTTTGGTCATCGCCATATAAGTGGCGCTTCGGGAAACACGACGAACCAACAATTCTTTTTTTTTTCTTTTTTTTTTTATCAGTATTGGACAGGAAGGACGTTTTACACAACCCTTTTGTCTTCGACGTCGTATCGTATGAGATCTTCCCGAACATTCCCAAGGGAAACGTGTATCTCTGAGATCCTAAGATCGTAATAATTGTGTTCCGTGTCGAGTTGTCCGTGATGAAATAGATATAAACTCTTCTTTTCTCTTCTTTATTTTATAATAACTCGTAAGAATACTATAAGCGCAAAGCACTATATTTTTTTAATGATATTTTAGCGAAGAACTTTTGAAGACGTCAACGATAGCGGCGACTAAGAGAGAGAGAAAGAGAGAGAGAGAGAGAGAGAGAGAGAGAGAATACGTGTATATTCCTTTCGCGAGTATGAAAACTCGTCCGTGTCACATTTGTTTCCTTTCTTCTTTTTCCTTTTCTTTTCTTTATTATTAGATCGAATGGTGTATTAATTTAAATAATAGAATAGCTTTTTATTCGGATTCCGAGCTATACTACGTATGTAAGTTTCTTTAGCGTGGATCGAGCCTGATGCAAGTCGAACTGGGAAACCGGACTGAAGCTCAATCGACTACTACTAATATTATTATTATTATTACTACTACAGCTCCGCTCGTTTCTTCGATATAAACGTCATGAATATTCTGGGTTTTTATTATTATTATTATTATTATTTTTCTTCTTCTTCTTCTTCTTCTTCTTATACTTTGTATATGCGAACGAGAAACGAAACATATGAAAACACTCTACGCTTATTCATTTCGGCCAATTTCAAACATACACAAAGATTTGTTTGTATACATTTAATGAAAATTCTATTCAACTTTTTTCTATCGAAACTCTGAAATAACGCGTTGAAAGTAAGTCCGTCAATTTCATTCGCGATCGCGAGACTAGTTAAGATTCTAAGATTATAATATTTCGATAAACACGTGAATGAACTTTCGAATACGAAAAATTTATCACATTTGTAAAATAATATCGAATCTTTTGTCACTTTTTATTTAGACGTTGATTATCATCTATACGTATACGTATTATTTTATTATATAACTCGACTATTATTATTAAGACTTTTATTTAGAAATATCAATGAGAAAAAGTCGTAATAATCAAACAATTAAATATTGAAACAAATGTAACAAGAGAGGGAAGAGAGAACAAAGAGCGTTAGTGTTTTTCACAGAAATTTGTGGCCTAATCGGTGATCCATTAACTGCGCAATAATCAATTTATTATCATCAAGCTGTCGTCCATTCGTAGGTGCTAACATGATCGAGTATAAAAAAAAAAAAAAAAAGATAGAAAAAAATTGAAAATAAAAAAAAAAATACAAGAAAAAAGAAACACAGACATCTTTCCTGGATCCTAACGTTTAATTGCTTCGATAGAATCGATGAATCGATCGATTGTTCGCCATCAATAAGTAATATATTACAAATAATAATATATGTATGTACTCGATCATTTTTTCAAATGTCATTGATAAAAGTTATAGAACGCAGTTCCATCGATATTGTTATTCATGTAAAAGAATGCATCTACGAATGTACGTACGTATCGCAAGGAAAAATCGATATAAACGTTTAGCGTAATATTCGTTCAAGGGCAGAAAACATTCCCATATTTCGCGTTACACTTCTTCGTGGATAAGAAAAATTCTCTATTTCTTTTTTTTCTGTTTTTTTCCCCTTCTTTCTTTTCTTTTCCTTTCTCTGAGCGGATGAATTTTTTTTCCTTCTTTCTTTTCTTTTTCTTTTTCTTTTTCTTTCCTTTTTCTTTCGTTATTCTCGTTTCCGTATCGCCTTAACGCATTTCTTCTTTCTTTCTTCATATTTCGAAAGGAGAGTCACTTCAGAGATAAGAATCATAATAGAAAAGAATCGAAGGAAACTAAACTGATTCTTTGATATATACACGATATATCTATTAACATTGATATAATTCCTTTTCTTACGAGTAGAACGATGCTCGTGGGAATACTTAAGCGATTACCAAAGATTTATCTTACGTTTCAATCCGTACTCCTAACTCGCACCTTTTAATTTCCGTGTGTTTCTCTCATCGTATTACTCACGGTACTTCCTGCTAACTCGTTCGTGTCAATTATTTATACATGTGTATATATGAGAATGGAAACGCAGTATAATCAAAACTTGTAAATTGTGATTAAAGAAAATCATTTATATATTTTTCTCGGAGAATAATTAAAAAAAAAAAAAAGAAAAAAAAAAGAAAAAAAAAAGAAAAAAAAAGAAAAAAAAAGAAAAAAAAAAGGAAAAAAAAAAGAAAAAAGAAAAGAAAAAGAAAAGAGGGAAAAAAAGTCGGAAAACTGAAAGACGGGAAAAAACGTAAAAATAATATCAAAAAAACGCGGCAAGGACGAAAGGCGCTGGTTGCCGATTGCTTGTTTTTTTTTTTCCCCAATTGTTAACGAGTTTTTTATCACGTTTGTCAAACTCGTCAACAAAGATTCTTGTGAATGAAACGCCTTCGTATTTCTTAATATATATCTGTACGAATAACGAAAGAAAGAGGAAGCAAGTATTTTACATAGCATCGAACAATCAATGAATGTTTCGTTATTTATACATATATTTGGATTAATCTATAAGGAATAAATGTAAAGCGAAGAGAAACTATTTTAACACAATAAGAGAGCGTGGAACTAGAACGGGTAACACCATGTTTCATCTCGTCATTGTAAATACTATTTGATATATATATATATATGCATATTCCTAAGTGCACCTTTGTACATACATATCTTATCGGAATTGAATAAATTATAATTAAACGCAAGAGATTATCGATTTATCTTTCCCCTTCCCTATGAAAAAAATTTCGTTGAGATATTATGACGATCGAGAAAAATGAAACATAATGAAAAACAAATCAATGACACTTGTCAAGTTCAAGGAAACGGTCATTATCTGATTTTCGATAATTACGCTTGATAATTATTATTTATTCAAAAGTAAACATTAGGATGACCGCTCGTGAAGAGAAGAAAGACGATATGGTGAGAAGATTTGTTTAATTTCGAATAACAGAATGATAATCGAATGAATTTATCTCAGAACGATGAAGACAAGAGGTTACAAGAAGATTTATTGCAATTGGTCGACGTATTGATGGTAAGAATTTAATATTATTCTATACGGGCGAGTGACAATCATTAAGAATAATAATGATTCTGGGCTCAAGGGAAAAGACGAAAAGGCAATGGCACGTGCTCTGGTACATCTTAGAATATTAATGCAAACGTCGACCACTTCGATGACCTCGGTACCAAAGCCATTGAAATTTCTTAGAGATTATTACGCTCGATTAAAGGATGCCTATTATAAAATCGAAAAAAACGACGACATTAAGAGACAATTTGCCGAGATTTTGAGCGTTTTAGTTATAGTTGGAACATCTTCAAGCTCGAGAGAATGTTTAGATTTTTGTATAAAAGGATCGGTCAAAAATCCTGGCGAGTGGGGTCACGAATATGTTAGACAATTGGAGGCAGAGATCGTCGACGAATGGACCAGCGCACCGATCAAGGAAGAAAAGGACATCAGGTCGGAATAATAAAGAACAATAGGATAGATCGATACTACGAAAGAATCAACGAGTCCATTTTTTCACAGGTCACAGCTTACGCCTTTGATCGAGAGCATCGTGAAGTTCAATATGAAACACAATGCCGAAATACAAGCCTGTGATCTGTGCTTGGAAATTGATCAAATGAATTTTCTACATGAGCATTTGGATTCTAATAACTTTTCGAGAGTGTGTCATTACTTGACGAATTGCGCCGCTTACAGGTTATTGATCGATATCTAATTTAAAAGAGTTAAAATATTTTCAAAGAAAAAACAACGATGTTTCGTTTTCAGCGAAGACACGGAGAGAAAACAGATATTGGAATTCGTATTCGATCAATATATGATATTCGGAGAGTATAGTAAAGCCATGCTAATTGCATTACAACTGGCCAATCCGGATTTGGTATTTAAGTGTCTTTCTACCTGTCCAGATTCTTTGATACGAAAACAATTAGCATTTCTGATTGCGAGACAACAGGTATAAATTATCGTCGTTAATGTCTTGCCTGACGAATATTATAAATTCCCATGATTCCTCATTCAGAATCATTTAATGAAGAAGGAATATCAAGAAGAAGATGCACAGGATATCGAGACTATACTTACCAATGGACATGTCAATGGCCATTTTCAAATATTGGCCAGAGAATTGGATATATTAGAGCCTAAATTACCGGAAGATATTTACAAGACCTGGTTGGAGACAGGAATCAGAAGAGATATCGATTATGATTCTGTCAGATCGAATTTAGCTTCTAGCTTCGTTACGGCTTTCGTTCATGCTGGTTTCGGCGAAGATAAACTTATGGCAAATACCAAAGACTGTTGGGTATACAAAAATAAGGTGATTCAATATCGACCTAAACTCAAATCCTTCTTCATTTTGACGAGGGACCTTCATAAATTTTGTATAATTTACTTTTCAGGGACATACGATGCTATCGGCAACTGCATCCTTAGGTCTGATACATCTTTGGGACGTGGATGGTGGATTAGTACCGATCGACAAGTGAATGTGAACTAAAAATAATCTTTCTAACAATAAGCTTGCTAATGCATAGAAAAAGATTTTCTTTCGACATCATTTATTCGCATTAGGTATCTTTATACGAATGACGATTACATCAAGTCAGGTGCTCTATTGGCAATCGGATTAGTAAACTGTGGAGTTCGAAATGAATGCGACCCAGCCTTGGCCCTGTTAAGCGATTATGTTCTCTCTACCAGCGAAATTCTACGAATTGGTGCGACCTTAGGATTAGGTTTGGCTTATTCTGGCTCTCAACGGTCAGATGTTGCGGAACTTTTGATATCGGCATTAAACGACAAACAGAGTAAAATTTTGATCTAACGAAGAACGATCTCTAATATGACGAAATAAATAAATAAATAAATAAAAAATACTCCTTTTTAGGTACCATGGAAATTATCGGACTTTCCGCGATTGGTTTAGCTTTGGTCTACGTTGGTACGGCCAATTCTGACGTCTCCTATGTCATATTGCAGAAGTTATTAGAACTTACGATCGAGCAATTGGCTAATACGCATTACAGGTGTTATTAAATAACGAAGAAAAAATGAATTTCCAACTAATCTTAATAACGACGAGCACGTAATAAAAATCTTTAAACAGGTTTTTATCACTGGCCTTGGGAATACTTTACATGAGTTGCCGGGATGTTATAGACACTCCATCAGCTGCATTAGAAGTTTTACCTGAACCATACAGACTAGCTTGTCAAACTATGTTACAGGTAACAAACTAATTACTGTTATAAACTTATATAATTCTATCGAACACTTTGACTCGAGATTTGCGCATACGCTGGAACTGGTGACGTTCTTATCGTCCAAGAACTCTTAAGAATTTGTTCGGAACCCGTTAATGGCAAGGAAAGTATCTATGGTACACCAATTACGACTCCTGTTGCCAGTTGTTGCGATCATGGAAAACACGTGGTTTCTAATTTAACGACAGACGATAATCAAGCGAAGAACAAGACTCCTAATTCCAAGTATATGTCTGTTATTAACATATTTTTATTAACGAACAAATTTTAACTCTTTATTAAATATAAAAAAAAAAAAAAAAAAATAGAGAAATTGGAATATCACAAGCGATAGCGTCTCTTGGAGTTGGAGTGGTTGGTCTCGGTGAAGGCAAAGAAAATTCGAGGATTTTTGGACAAGTAATTTCCAAAAGAAGAGATAATAAAAAAGATTTCAACATTGAAATCCTAATTCTAATAATAGGTAGGACGATACGGTCCGACCCAAGCAAGACGAGCGGTACCCTTAGCTATGGCCCTTTCGTCTCTTTCTAATCCAGAACCGGCACTCTTAGATGTTTTGAACAAATATAGTCACGACAATGACGTGGACGTTGCTCATAACGCAATATTAGCTTTAGGATTGGTCGGTGCTGGAAGTAACAATGCGAGATTGGCGACCATGCTTAGACAATTAGCTGCCTATCATGCCAAAAATCCTTCTCATTTATTTCTCGTACGAATTTCTCAAGGTCTCGTGCATTTAGGGAAAGTAAGTTGGGAATGTTCGTGCCAAGTTCTTCTTACTTTTTCTTCCTCTGTTAAATTTTTCATTTATCAGGGTACGTTATCGTTATCACCGATGCATTATTCATCGAGAATCTTGGATCGAACGGCACTGGCTGGATTAATGGTTGTTCTGGTTGCATGTTTGGATTGTAGGAATTTGATATTGGATAAATCTCATTACTTGATGTACTGTTTAGCTACGGCCATGGAACCACGATGGTTGGTCACTTTGGATAAGGATCTTAAGGTCTTTCAAACGTTTATATTTAAATTATATTATCTATAGGATGTCTTTGCTGCTAACAAATTTCCTGTTTTTTCTTCTTCCTTTTTTTTTTTTTTTTTATAATTACAGACACTTCCTGTTTCCGTTAGAGTTGGCCAAGCCGTAGACATCGTTGGCAAGGCTGGCAATCCAAAATCCATAGCTGGTGGTAACGTTCATACGACCCCAACCCTTTTAATGCATAACGAAAGGGCGGAGTTGTTGTTAGACGAATATGAACCTTTGTCCAGCATGCTGGAAGGGTTTGTTATTTTAAGAGAAAAAGCAGAATCTTCCTAAGCGAACCTTTTGATCTTTTTAAATAAACATTGAAATACTTTCTTCACCCACAAAGCTAAACTTTGCCATATAAAATGACTTAGAAGCTGGTACGGAATTCAGTTTTTTTTCTTTTTTTTTTTTTATATAGGTTTGCGTTTATTTAACTTTAGGGACTAGCGGAAGCAATGTGCTTTATACAACAGAAATGTACATTGGTATGCATTGCACAGTGGGAACAACAACGTTGCACCATGATCAAAGTATTAGACAGATTTTCAACATCTGTTTCCTCATTCTTTTCTTCCTTATCTCTCAAGCATGGCTAATTCTATACCTTAATTATATATAAGTAGGGTAAATAAAAGTTTCACGACGAAAGCGAGTTTATAACTCGAATACACGCATGTATACGCGTGTTCGTTCCAACGACGTAAAAAAGAACAATTTTTGGGGAGAGGGGACTAAAATACTTCGACGGACTTTTTTTTTTCTTATCTCGTTCCTTTTGATATTTTTTCACATGCGTAGAATACACATAGGTATATCATGGTGCGTTTTCCTTTCATATCGAAAGATGTAACATATATACGTATGTTGTGTATTTGTATGTGTGTTTGTATGTATGTAGTATTTATGTATGTAGTATTTATGTATGTATGTATTTATGTATGTAATAGGTAGGTAGATAGGTATATGAATAAGTCCAAGTTACGTGTACGAGAGATCATGGCGCTCGTTCCTTACTTTTCCCTTTTGCTTTTTATCTTTCTTTCTTCTTCTTATTATTTATTTATTTATTTTTTTTTCTTTTTTTTTTTTATTATATATTATAATTACCCTCCTCGTAAAGAAACTGTGAGAAAACGCAAGCTTTACATGTATATGCACATGTACAATGTGTGTAACACTACGTACTCTTTGTATTTTAATTTCTAACGAACATTCTTCTTCTTCTTCTTCTTCATCATCATCATCTCTTCTTCCTTCATAGGCACATGACTTAGGGTAAGAGGCGATATTTTTTTTTTCTTCCTAATGAAAAGCACGCTTCACACGTGCGTCGCATGTGTTATTAACTTGTTTCCCTTGGTGTATATATGTACTTTATGTATGTGCATACGTGAATGCGACGATGAGAACTCGATTTTGAATTAATCCTTTACTTTCACGTTACGTATCTTCTTTTTCCTTTTTTTTTTTTTTTTTTTTAATTATAATCGATGCTGACTTTGAATTGTTCGAATATGTTCGATGTCAAAAGTTTCTCTTCTCGCTACGCGATGTCGAATGAATTTTAAGTTTGTTCTCTTAAAGATTTTGCACTCTAATGTAGAGCGAACGTTCGTTCTAAATCATGCAAAAGGGTTTCAAGTTCGAGTTTATTCTCATTTATCGCGTGCCTTTTCGTCCCCTTACTAGAGCATGTCTTCTTCTTTAGAAAATATAATAGAGAATACGTTAAGAAACGCTATATATATATATATGTATATATTATATATATATATATATATATATATATATATATATATATATATATATATATATATATATATATATATATATAATTCTCGACAGGAACACTGCCTACGCTATCGCGCAATATTTTATATGTATTTTATTGTTGTTGTGTTGTTGTTGTGTTTTCTTTCTTGTAAAACAATGACAAGTTAAAAATGTAATATAGCTCGTACGTCATACTCTACATTCGATTTGCGTTTTCTATTTTTTTTTTCTTTTTTATTTTACTCATATCAACGCACTCGCACCGATTTCGGCAAGCCGAACCACCTAACTAACTATAACTTTATACGTTTAAAGTTTCGCTTAATATTAAAATATAGTAATAGTAAGAGATAAAAATTAATAATAATGATGATAGCTCTTATATATATATGTATATATATATATATATATATAACTTATAGATAATAGCAAATTTGTATCGTAACATGTCGCAAATATTATGAGCGTGTTTCGTGTGTATTTGTTTTTATATTCTTTCTCTTATTATTTTATTTTTTATTTGTCCGAGCGATGTATCTTCTAATATTCCATTCTTTTCTCGTGCCAATATTCCTTTTCTTTTTTCTTTTCTTCACTATTTACAATATGCGTATTGTATCTGTTTAAAATAATTCAGCACATCTCTATCATATTATTCGCTGGGCCATTGCAATTGTTACGGCGAAATAATGGGCATTAGAATGGATCGTTATATGGTAAAATTTGTGTCTATGTAAAATTACCCTTCTACCGTTTTCAATATTTAGAGAGTCACGATGAAACGAACGAGGATAATGTATGTATTTATGTATGTAACGAACAGGAATCGATCGGACGTATATTAAGGGCACATTAAATCCATGCAAAATGACTCGACACGACACATGAAGCGATTAGATAATTTCTATTTAAAACGACGATTAAATTCTCTCACGCATCGTTTCGTCGAATCCCGAAAAGCGTAATATGTTACTAACGAGAAGGATGAATTTAAATCGAAGAGAAAAAAGCTGCCTGCCGAGAGAGAATTTCGTTGCTGAGAGAAGAAATTGACTGAGTGAAATGGCAGTGCGTGCTTTCGTGTCATGCTCTTTCCTCCATGCGTGCCCATTTTTTTGTTTTCTTTTTTCTTCTTTTTGTCATTTTTTTTTCTTTTCTTTTCTTTTCTTTTTCCTTTCCTTCATACATTCATATAACGAGTAATAGATTTTTCTCTAAAGACCTTTGATCCTCTTTCGCTATTAATGATATACAGATGTACTGATATACGTATCATATCATCGATAGCGATCTTTATCAGACGATTCGGACACGATGCAGATTAGAAGAAACATTATCATTGACGTGTGTGTGTATGCGTATGCGATGTATAGACGAAGAAGAAATGGTAATAGTTAAAAGAGCCGCGCACGCCTTTTTATCTCGTTTCGACGCCATTGCGGTAATCTGTAGAATTCGGCTCGAGTACACTGTAGAACTGCCTCGAATTCGGCGTCGGACAAATGTCGCTGAGAACAGAATTATATAATTAATATTATTTGTAAAACTGCGATTAAACTTTTTTTCTTTCGCTCGATATACTCACTTCGAGATTACAACGATCAACGTCAGCCGGCAGTCTATAATTGGTGATAACGAGTAAATGATAAGGATAAAGCTTCGGTGGTTCGGTTGGTGCAGCACCCATATCCGGCAGTGACCTTCTTACGTGATGACCACCATGACTTCCCACCACTGAACCTAGGCCACCCGTGTATGTGGTGGAGGATGGCAGGATACCACCATCATTCTGTATAACGATCGAACAAAATATTTACACACTTTTTTTTTGTTCCTTCTTTCTTTTTATCAACACGCGTTATTCTATGTCGACAATCTCTCATATTTAATTTTTAATATCACGCACATATCTATATATAATTTTTTTTCTTTATATATAAACGTTTATCTTTACAAAGAAATAAATAATATTATACGTTTGACGATAATCATGCTTATAATATCATTTTTACACATAAATTATAATTATCAGTGGACCTCGTTACGTATTCTCGTGCAAGACAACGTCAGCCATTCCAGAAAAATGATCTGTGATACTTGAAATCTTGGAATTCCACGTTCGTAATTATCAAAAGAAAAGAAATATTCGTAAGAAAATTAATGTTTTTTAAAAACATTTCTTTGAAAAAGCCGTATGTGTGTATGTGTGTATGCGCGCGCATGTGTATATATATATATACATATGGACACACGCGCACCATAAAGATAAGATCAAAAATAAATATATGTAGCCAACGAACGTCGACGAAATGTAACGTCAAAATAAAAAAAATGATCAAGTGTATATATATATATATATATATATGTAATAAATATATCAGAGTATCGAACAAAAATAAAAAAAAGAAAAAGAAAAAATCATGACAAATTATCGGAAATCATTGCAATCGCGCTAGCGCACGCCTTTTTTTCGATTAAAAATCAAAATGCAATATAGAAATGAATAAATTCCATTTGCAGAATGAAAGAAAAATTTTCAGCGAATGTACAGCGAACACATGCACGCTCATAAAAAGAATATACATCAATATATACAATATCATACATGTGCAATGCGTTTATCCCGTCTTCTTTAACATTAACATCGATTAATGTTCATCGATAAAATATATTTCAACGAATCGTAATACATACAATTGCAAAATATATTTATATGTTCATCAGCAGGAGGATCATTTTCTCTGTCTAATTTTTTCTCGGTTTATCATCACTTCAAAATCAAAAACATGCACGATTGTGTATCGCGTCGAAGAAAGAAAAAAGGGTTGCAAGAACAATCTACAAACCATGCTAATTTGCCGGGAGTAGTATGGGGCTGTGGTACATACCAATGCCCGTCGATCCACATCCGTGATGCTGCCTGTCGATACTAAAATTGGGGAAAAAAAATGGGAAAGAAAACCATGTCAAACCATATTGCACAAACCATTTGTTACGTGTACTTTTCGTCAACGATGTTCCAAGTTTCGTCTCGCTTGACTCAACTACTTTTTGTTTGTTTCTTGTTTTTTTTTTTTTTTTTTTTTTTTTTTTTTTTTTATGCAAAGTAAAAGAAGAGAAAAAAACCAAATTGCAATTCATTGCCTCATTTGATTACAGCCAAGCGGAGAATGTAGGAACATGATTGCTACGAATGATTTTCTATATTTAATTTAAACTTTCTTCGCACGGTTCTTGTCTACGAATATTTATTTAATTGTCAGCGAAAATGAAACCGATGCACGTACATTGATTTTTATTCGTCAAGGTACCTGCATCGTTCTTATCTATGTTTTTTTTTTTTTTTTTTTTTTAATTATTCATCGTCCTATCGACTAAGCACAAATCGTCGTTCGTAGAACGTAAAACGAAAGAATTTGGAAAGCTATTCACGACAGCTTATAATCTCGAACGAACGAAGATGAACATTATCAAGGACGACACAAATTTGAAATTTGCTACGACCAAGTGTGATAGGCGACAGTGACAGTGCGATAGCTCGCAGGGAAGAGGATTAGTAAAGCATGCACAGAATGATAAGCAGATTGAAAAAAGATCTAATTAATAAGAAAGAAAAAAAAAAAAAAGAAAAAAAAGAAAGAAATAAAAAAGTAATCTCTTTTTCCCCGCAAGAAAATACCCAGCGAATCAACTACGTGGTATATCTCGCGAAGAAACTAAGTGATTAATTAATTGATTAATTATTGAAAATTACGTGTGAAAAAAATAATTCGACGAGAAAAGATAAAGGTGTGTTTGCACGTTTATCCTTTTCCTCTCGCACTCTCTCTCTCTCTCTCTCTCTCTCTCTCTCTCTCTCTCTCTCTCTCTCTCTCTCTCTCTCCTCTCCCTCTCTTCCATTCTTATTTTTTACTCACTATCTGATTTGCCGGATGAGAAATCAGTGCTGTGCGTCTTGTCTCCCATCCCACTGAACGAATAATCACCCTAGACGAGAAAAAAGCGTTATCTTAATAGGAGATGCAGGCCGAGGGACTTGGGGTCGAACGTAAAGAATACTCTCTTTATGTTAAACGCGGATGCTTTTCTTTTCTTTTTTTTTTTCTCTTTTTTTTTTCTTTTCTTTTTCTTTTTGTTTTGTTTTGTTCGATCGGTCGATCGTAAACGCGGTGCAAGACTTACAGGGAGAGCAGATACAGAACCGCCGGTCGAGGAGAAGGTGTGACTTCGCGGTGCCAGACCGTACCCTGGCTTCGGGATGTGCCGAAGAGAGCTCACAACTGGTTTCAAATGTCAATTTATGATTTATTACTACAATTGTTTCTCGAATAGGAGGGGATGGTAGAAAGTTACTCTTTCATTCCCATACGAATGCCCCAACGTTCGCCTAGGTTATAACAATTTTTTTTTTTTTTTTTTTCTTTTTTGTCATTTCCATTTATATCAAGCACCTACAGATAGGTATAAGTAAATAATACACATATACGTAATATAGATATGCGTATATTCATTTTACTGATATATTAATCGTATTCATGGTGTAAGCCAAACAGGTGTAAGTATAACGCGAACAGGACGAAGCCCATGATGTTTCGTTAAAACGAAAAACGAATCCTGATCGTTCCCAGCACTCACGTAGTAGTCAGTGGCTTCGTTTTTCCATGAAATATCCAATTATCGTACAGTTTACCTAGAATGAATTTTCTTTCTCCCACGAATACCGATTTTTATCTTCTTTTATCCGAGCTCACG